CGCGTTTCTCCACGATCAGCTGGTGACCCAGACACGCGCATCCGGGCGAAGTGCCGTCTCTCTAGTATTACTGTAAACTCTCTGGTGTTACAAGAGAGTGACAAACACACAAAAGAAGGAGGAGAGATCAGGACAAAAGATGTTTGGTAGGAAAGAAGGAGCAAACCACACCAGAGCACCCGCCAACCACCCACCTATTTAGCATTGAAATTTCAAGACAAAGTTAGAGTAAAGAAAAGCAAATCAAAATATTAACTGCAATTTAGTGCAGAAAAAAACAACAACAACCCGTAGACAGACTGAAACAACAGAGTTAAAGAAAATGAATTGGGACATTTTTACAAGCAACAGCAGCAGCCTCCAAATACCCAAGCCTTAGAGAAGCAGGGGTACAACTGAACTTTTGTAAAAGTAACCAAAAAATTTTTTGAGACTAAATTTAGCATGCGACGAAGTAATAAATGCAATAAAACAACATCATATCTGTTCAACAATAAAAACCCCCCCAAATTTTCTAACGAATGATGCCCAAAATAATGGGAAAAAAGGAAATAATGGGACAATGCTTACCGTTAACTGCGCGGGTTTCTGCGGGATCTGGGAGCGCGGGTGCTGCTGCATGCGCTGGGAGGTCATCATGTGGGATGGGTCCATCATCTGAGGCGGCCGGCTGGCCCCGCCCATATTGTGCATGCCCGGCATCATACCTGCGCACATAAACAGTTTGACTTTTCAGTAAAGAGAAACGCGCTGATACAATAAGCTATCCTGTGCAGTTCTGCTTTTTTTTCGTTTGTTTTAGCAAGTGTTTTACGACCCTTGAAAAACATTACGGTTATATAAGAGCTGAAGAGGTGTTGCAAGAGAGTAACAAACACAAAAAAGGAGGGGAGATAAGGACGATAATGTACGATCGGAAAGAAGAATCAAACTACAAAAGCGCACCCGCTAATCACCCACTGCGAGAAGTAAAAGTAACTAGTTTTATCAGTGTACTTCACAATTACTAAATTGATACAAAAGGCATGAAATCACTACCACAACAACAAACCATCACATAATGCCTGGAAGCTAATCACCACCCTACTAGTAACACTAACAAGGAAGTAAGCATGGAGATCATATTATCATATCTGACCACTTTCCAATGAGGAAGTTTATAAGAGAGAAACAGGATCCAAAAGGTGGGAGGCACAGAGAGAGAGAGAGAGAGAGAGAGAGAGAGAGAGA